CCGAAACTGTACTGAACAGTAGGAGAGAGATTTCCTCAACTGATCCCAGGCCCCAACCCCCTCTCCTTCACTTTTCCGAGCAGACGACACTCCGTGCCAACTTACGAGATGATCTCGGCCGGCCAGCTGGCTTCGATCGTAGCCCAACCGACCTTTTGGCCTGTGAACAAATCGTTACGAGATGGTGCATCGGCCGGGTTCGAATCGGTTGCCACCCTGTCAATAAAAACACGAATGTGCAAGCGTTGAACGAGGTTCCAAAACTCAGAGACGAGCAGGCAGAGGTCCTCTTTGCACGAGTATCCTTTGACCAAGGCCGCCTCCACGACTTCTGAGTCAGTAAAAAGGAACAAATCCGTGCCGAGCAGTCGATCTGCAAAAGTGTGAACTGCCACGATCGTAGCTACCATCTCGACCGGAATGATCTGAGTCTTCCGTTCGCACCACCTCCTTTTCACCTTTTGGGAAACACAGGCGGTGAATTGAACGGGGGCCATACACCTACGATCAAAGATGACGGCGCCGATCCGGTCCGGGAGCCGAATTGCATCTCTCGGGTCTGGAGAAAACCCATCGGTAAAAAGAACACAGTCAGCGCGTTTGTTTGCGCAAAAGTCGATCGACCTCGGGGGTCCCGCTTCCACCAGTCTCAGCCACTGTTTGAGCGACTCGCGAAGAGCAGGGTCTAGCCCAAAATGATCATCCTTAGCGAACCGCGTGTACTGTCGTTCGGAGATGGGCCTCAAGAAAGCTCTCCCTACCTTACCCCAGAGCTGGCTAGCTCCGAAAAGGAGTTTCCCCTTCAGCTTGCCTGCCTGACCAGGGTCGAGAGAGTCTGACTTCAGAATCAAGTTCATCTCATCGATCAGGTCTTTGCGACGGCTCTCTTTGATTTCAAGGACCCAATCCACAAGGTTGTAGGTAACACCTAGCACGACTGGCATGTCTGAAAGCTGCAGCTTGTGTGCGTCGAAAGCGGCACCAAGCCAAAAATGAACCTTTTGTGCCACGAGAAAGGCCGAGTTGATGGTTTCAACAGGTTCAAACCCATACTTATCATCATAGAAGTTGAAAGCAACAAGCCCGAACAGGGACATCAAGATCTCATTAATGGCAGCCGACCTACGATTGTAGTTGTAAACAGCTGCCACAAGCCCGAACGAATGTCCGACCATCACGAAAAATTCGGGTCTCCCAGACTTCGGGTTCTTGAGGCAAATGACACTGAACTTCCGGTGTGCAGGTCGAATGCCCACCTGCCGATAGGCTTTTCTTTCATCCAAGACCCAACCTGCGAAGCGCGAGTCAGGCATTGACGAACGAAGTCTCCTTAGTGCCGCAACGTTCGTGTCGGTCGAGGGCAACTGAAGCTTCTCGGTGATCTGGGTAATCTGATTAATTAAATTAGTCGTGGCGCTGTCGCATCCACGAACCTTATTCTTCTGAACTACCTCAAACCTCTGAGTTGGAATCCAGTCATCGCAACCTAGCAGACTCGAGACTTCATCAGCAGACACGAACGGTCCAAGCGACGAGCCCTCAAGAACATCTTCAAGGGTGGCGTCCCAAATCTTCTGGAGATTATCAGAGACCGGAACCCCCGCCACTCGAGCGACAATTTTTGACCGGATCCCCCAGGCCCTAGAACATGCATGTTCGATCGAGAGAACTTGCTGAGGCTTCTCGTATTCAGGCCATCTCCGTGACCGAGCGATCGGACCTACGATGGGAAACCCGGCGAGCAGCAAGTCAGGCATGAAGCGATCGACTGACTGACACGCGGTCAGCATCTCTGAGTAGAGTGCCACATGACACGTCACACCGAGCTGGCATGGGTGCCCTTCAGGGGCGCCTCGCAACAGTCGACGAAGAGGTGCGTCAGGGACCTCGCTAATTAGCCGATCGGTGAGCGGCAACAGTTGCTGAGCACGGTGTTCCCAAAAGAGCAGGCCCTGGGTTCGACGATCGACAATGTCCCCCCGGTGGAGAGCGAGTGCCTCAATACATGCGGAAACCTGTGAATCAAGCTCAATCTCGGAACACAGAGGGTGGGGAATGTCAAGGGCCCGTGCGATTGCTACTCCCGGCTCGGCCTCGGTGTGCAAGAGGGGCTTCCGAGCGCCTCGTTTCAGTTGGTAACCTGAAGCTTCAGCTTTCAGAGCCGTGAGAGCCTGGCGATGTTCCCTCCACCTCAACGGTTGGCCGATCGGCCGTTTCCGAGAGTTCGAGCACAAGGTGAAGCTCCTCATGAACTGCAGGCACTGAGGGGACCAAACAAGTCGAAGTGCTTCTGCGAACTGTTGGCACATAGCTTCCGGGTACACTTGAGCTAGCTTCGTGCGGAAAACCCACTTCATGAAAAATTCCGACCAAGTCTTGCCTTTCAAACGAATGTGCTTGTGCCCACCTTGGCATCGACGGTGCAACCCTTCGAGTGCCGCATGTGAAGTCAACAAGCGAGTCGGTTTGACAGACGGAGCACCGAACATGCATTGGTCGAGATTGACATGTCTGGCACGATGGACACGAGCGAACTCTTTCAACTGAGGTGTTTCCCAAATGAGGCTGAATTCCGGGTTTTCGATCGAGAAGTCTCCGCCGTGTTGAACGACAGCTGAGCAGGCCTCAAGTGAACGAAACAGGAACAAGTTCCCGAGAAAAACTAACGCCTCATTGTCCGCCGACAGTCCTGGACGACCAAGGGGGTCGTCATGGGAGCGTAACGGTGGGGGGCCCCCGTCGTCTTTGCGTGCAGACGCAAAGGTGTTGCACGGTGTGCCACAGTGCAAGAAACGAACCGCACCCGCACGAATGAGCTCCATCACGACCGACCATTGATCACTATCAACAACATCAAAGGCAGTGGGAACTTGTTCACAGATCGTGATGTCGATCGGCGGCAGAGTTGGGATGCCCGCACGCCTCATGGCCAACGTCAAGGTTGCCGTACCCGAGAAAATTTCGAGGAAGAACGGACCCTGAGCAGCAACTTGATGAACATCACGTGGAACGTCCGACCATGAACACCACTGCTTCGGATGCGACGGCACTGTCAGCTCAGGTGACTGCGCTTCATGCGTGCCGATCGACTCCTTTGGTGCAGGCGGGTGAGCTGGAGTCGAGGGCTCACCCCCTTCATGCTGAGCAGCTCAGTGGTTACCGTGCCAGGGATGATCCCTGCCACACTCGACACAAACATGGGCGCTCTTGCACTGATCACCAAAGCGACAGCCTAATGAGCAATTGTACCATGGACAACGTTTCTTGCCAGAATACTTGAATGAGTTGATCTTGCTCCACTCCTGTGCAGGAACACGAGCGTCCTTCTTGGGAGTGTCCTTGTGCGATGAGGCACCTGTCTTCAAATGGTCACGAGCGGCTTGGAGAGTCTTCTTTGCACGATCCCGACGAGCCTTGTTCTTCTTTGCTCGAGCCGAAGGCACCCCTTTCGGAGGCGTGTCCGAGCGGTCACGCTTGGTCCCCCGGCGTGGAGGTGTTGTTGGAGCCGACTGGTGACCCGCTTGCTTGAACTTCTCCAACTCTGCACTGGACCGAGCGTCATTCCAGAGCTGCTTGTGGTTGGTGAGAACTTCATTGAGCGCACTGGAAAAAAGTGCCGAACGACTTGCGGTGATCCGCATTGAGACGATATACACCTTCCTCCTGATCAGTGAATCGACCGACAGCAACAGAGCGAGTCCATGGTTCTCATGGCGCCACTCTTCCAGCTCAGAAAGGTATCGCAGCGGGCCTGCGGCATAGGTGAACTCGCAAATGTTGAGGTACTCGAGCGCGACCAAAAAGGCGTGCAGTTTGTCCATGACCTGAGTTTCAGATGCTGCAGTGGTCGGTTGATCAATCGTAACGACCTTGAGGAGATCCTCTGCGTTCTTGGACAAGCCGCTTTTCTGAGCAATCTGCTCGCTGCGAGTCCGCAACTCACCGACTTCGTAGAAGGGAACGGATCCGTGCACCAGAAAATCTCGTTGCAAACGCTCGACTAACTTCCGATGAGGTTCGCGGTGGTGTGGAAGGAGGACATCAGGATGTCGAGCGACAAACTGCTCTCTGAACTCTGCGTGATCATCGCCTGGAATCTCTGGCACTTTCGACGGATCTTCCTCCATCTTGGCTCGACGGGCAGCGAAGTGGTCTTGCAACGTTGAACAAGTCTTCCAAACAGCTGCGAGCGAGGTCAAGGCCAATTCACGTTCTCCTGGGCTGGCGCCCAAGAGAGCTTCGTCTGCTATGATCACTTTCAGCGACTCTTTCACAGCTGCGATCGTATCGCCTAGCATAGCGAAGGCTTCCACTGTCAAAAGCTTCCGATCAGCGACTACTCTGCAGAGGTCCTCCTGGAGCCTCTGTCGGCCGAAGATCTGGCGTAGTGCCAGCTCCGGCACGAGAGCCGCATCGTACTTCGTTCGATCAACCATGACAGCGAACGGCCGAGCGCCGTGCCGAGACCTGAAAACCTTGAGCATAGAAAGACAGGCATAAACCGAACGGAGTGAACGTGTGCTGGTCCCGACGCGGTTCGAGCGCCACGTTAACCACCTCCGAGCGACAAACAGGTCAGAGTCACCTGGATCAGGTTGAAGAGGGGAACCTCCATGCCGTAGTACGAAGTCACTTCAGGGCGGGCACGAGCACATGCCTTGCACAACACGTTCGTGTCCGGAAGGACTTCACCCACCGACGAGCAGTCGGATAACGAGAAACGATTGCAAGCCGTGAACTCCTCGTTGTTCCGAGCGGTACAGTGGAATTTGTACTCGTATGAACTACCTGGACTGGGCTTCTTGATGAAGAACTCGAAAGCGCTGAGCTCCGTGTCCGGTGCGTCAAACAACACAGTATCCGCATCT